TGGGCTTTGTACAGGGCTTGGAATCACAGACCCACAGGGTAAGAAGTGATCACAAGGGTCAGCTAGGCTAACCCCCTGCCAAGGTGCAGGATCTGTTGTGTCTGACCCACCCAGGACAGGCGGCTCCAGCCCCCTTTGGACAGAGCTTCCCCGACCTCCCGAGGCGTCTGTTCCATTGTCCTGCTGCGCTGACAGTTAGGAAGTTTTCCCTGAGATTTACTCTCAATCTGCTCTGCTGTAGTTTGAGCCCATCGCCCCTTGTCCTGCCCTCTGTGGCAAGAGAGAACAACTTTTCTCCATCTTTTTATGGCAGCCTTCCAAGTATCTGAAGACCGCTGTCACCTCCCCCCTTCATCTCCCCTTTTCCAAACTAAACACACCCCGTTCCTTCAGCCTTTGCGCCTATGACTGGTGATCCATCCCTTTGAGTCTCATTGTCACTCGCTTCTGGGTCCGTTCCCATTTCTCTACATCCTTTCTAGACATTGGTGACCCAAACTGGACACCGTACTCCAGCTGAGGCCTCCCCAGCGCCGAGTAGAGCGGGACTAGCTCCTCCCGCGACTTGTTTGCTACGGCTCTGTTAATGCAGCCTGACATTGTGCAGCAGCATCGCATTGCTGACGGCTGAGGGTGTGATCCACACAACTCCCAGATCCATCTCAGCAGTGCTGCTGCCAGGCCAGTTCTCCGCCATTGTGTATTTGTGCATTTCCTTCCCTACGTGTGGCACTTCACATGGGTCTCGCTTGAATTTCATTTGGTCGTCTGAAGTCCAGTTCTCCAATTTATCAAAATCCCTCTGAATTTTAGCTCTAGCCTCCAAAGTGTTTGCAACACCCGCAGATTTGTCTCATCTGCAAACTTGATCAGTCTGCTCGCTAGTTGTCACTGACTCACAGCTCGTGCCCACTCTTGGCCCCGTGCGGTCCGTGGGAGGTGCCCCTTTCAGTGCGACAGCCCTTCTCGGGGGTCCACTCTCTCTCGGGGTCAGGCCCCTCCACCTCCTGGAGCCGCACCTCTCTGAGCCTTAGCACGTCTGTCTCTGCCGTGGGCCCCCTCAGGGAGTCCCCTCGCTCTGGACCCCCCGGGCCTCCACCCCCAAAGGGGTTGATGCCACCCTGTTCTCTAGACCGGAGTGACTCTCAGCCAGCGTATCACAGAAGGGTTTATTGAGGGTTGAACACAGCACAGGAAATTTTCAGGGCCACAGGCCTGGCCTCCCTCAGCCCAGCACACCCCAGTCTCTCTGCATCCAGGTGGGCTCTGCCTGCTCCCCCTCTCCAGCCCAGAGCCCCCCTGCTTCCCCGCTGGGCATCTGAGATCACCGGCCCCAGGCCCCACCTCTGTCCATTGTCTTCTCTCCAGGTAAACAGGGTCGTAAACCGGGGCCTCCTCTCCTCGCTTCTGTCCTCTGGCTGGAACCGGCTGGTTAGGTCACTGGGTCCTCACTCTGCAGCCCATTGTCCGCCCACTGGCCAGAACCGGCTGCGTCTCCTCAGCTGGGCCTCCGGGTCACCAGGTCACCGGTCGCTGGGGTATCCATCCTCCCAGCCATCGGCTGGATTCCCCAAGTCCTCTCTTCAGTCCTCTGCAAAACAAACTCCCTCTCCCCTCACCTCGTTAAACCAATAACACCCAGGGAAACTAACTCCCACCCCCTCCGCATGCAAACCATTGAAACCCCACCAAAAACAAGAAAACAAAGAAAATCCCCCACTTCGTCACACTAGTCCTACATCCAGGTCATTGATAAAGATGTTAAACAGCACTGGCCCCAGAACAGACCCTGGGGAACCCCACCTGAGACCTCCCTCCAATCCGACATCAGTCCATTAATAGTTACTCTTTGTTTGCGGTTGTTTAACCAAGTATGTGTCCACTTAATGGTAGTTCTGCCAAGCCCACATTTCTCCAGCTTACTTATGAGAATATCATGTGCAGGGGCGGATTAGAGTCTTGTGAGGCCCCTGGGCCACAGCAAGTGGGGGCCCCTCCCCATCCCTTCCCCCTACAGTCCCCCCCGTGTGCTCTCCTGGCACTCCTGCCGGGGAGCGGGGTCAGAGGCTCCCGGCAGGAGCACTGGGTGGGCGGAGCAGGTCAGGGCATGGGGGGCCCATTCTTCTGCAGGCCCCCGCA